TATTCCAGGTGAAATCTCGTATTGGGTTTGAAAAAAGGACTTGAATCAAATCATTGGACAATGTTGAAGTAATTATAATTTGAATGTTCTTGAGTTTCCTAGATTGGCGTTTCTCTTTGCGTGTTTCCTCTTCAGCTACTTTTCTCAAGTTTCCATTTCTTGTCCTTGGATGAGCACGGCATTTGTTTCTTTAAAGTTTTCTACAACCATGTAATCCGAGTTTAAAGATTTAGAGTTTGGGGAATTTGAAGCATGTACCACATTGGGAATGTGGATGAGTCTTAAGTTCTTAAACAAGAAGATTAAGGTCTTTTTCTTCTCTTTCTCTCTCTCTCTCTCTCTCCATTTCTGAATCTGATAGGCAAATATATCCTCCATATGATTTCATTATGCTAGAAGAGGGAATAGGACCACAGGAGATGGCACCTGGGTCAGTTGGCCAATATTACTGTTATGGTGTTATGCTATTTTTTTTTTTTAAATTTTTTGATATCCGTGAGTGTCATGAGCGCATCTCAACTAATTTCACAGGACAACTGTATAATCTTACTAAATTTGGTTGCCAAAGAAACACATAGGATTAATTCTTAGATAGGTGGCCGGGTTTGAACCCATTTCCTCTAAATCTGTTACAGTGTTATGCTATTCAGATTTAAGAGTTAGTTGGAATTGCATTCTGATAGAGGGGAGATGGGAGGAGAGGAACTAATCCAGAATTGTAAATTTGCTATAGAAAGAGGGTGGGGGAGGGAATAACTATCTTGAGGATAATACATATGTGGCGTGCTTCTCTGTCATACTGTTGATGGATTCCTTTCTTAAGCATTCTGGTAGAATCTGACATGAGAGATTTACTTACTTTAAGGTTTTGTCATTTGTGGATAAGCTAGCCTATACGTTACTTTTCTTAAAAGGAAATTTAGATTTTCAAATGTTCTATTTATTTTGAACTCTGTCGTCATCATCTGAGTGACATCTACTGCTCATAAGCTGCTCTCTCTGCAAGCAAAAAGTTATTGCTTTCTACTGCCAGCTGATGACTTTTCCTCACTTGGAGGCTTGTTTATCTTCTTTCTCTAATTTCAGAAATTCTACTTCTTGGCTGTGGGAAATATACTGAACCAGTAAATCCTGAATTAAGGCAGTTCATTCGTTCCACTGGCATGAAGTTGGAAGCTGTAGACACGGTACTATGGTTGAAATTATGTTGGTTTGACTTATAGTTGGATCTGTCTTTATCTATTTTATCTGAGAACTAAGATAATTACTTTTCCATGCAACTGAAAATCAAGCTATTGGGGAATTTTTATCACTGATTGGCGAGAGAACAATAAAAATTTTCTTTTGAATAAGAAACAATATTTCATGCCACTAACTAAAAAATAGATAGGAAGACGTCCACTCACCCTAGTGGCCTAGTCAAAAGAGATTGTAAAAAGGCTACTGTATTGTCTGGTTAGTGATAAGCAAAGTGAATGCGTCACCAGTAATCTACTCTTTCCCTTGTAATCAGTTGGGTTCTAAAGTTTCTTAGAGTATCAACAATTGCAGGGTCATTTTGTAATTCTAGTTTCACTTGTTGGACATAGAGTGATCAAGAATTATCTTTAGAGCCCAGATCAGATTTTGAACCTAGGTTTGGTCAAGAAAGAAAATTAAGTTTACCGGTTCTCCCAAAAAGGAAAAAAAAAATCAAGTTGGCTGTCGAGTTAAATTACCAATTAACAATGATTCCTCTGAGGACATTTTTAGTTTGAACTGTGGGGTCCAAAACTTCAAATTATAAATATGGTTTTTGGATGGGTCTGCCCATATTTATTTTATTGATTTGGTTGTCTCATACGTGCACAATTTTATGCTGATGTTTTACCTTGGGTTGATGTAGAAAACTCTCATACTTTGGATACGAAAAAAGGAGTTAAGATCCCAAGTCTCTTTCAGGTTCTCACGTGTTGTAATTGTTTTGAGAGATTTCAAGTGGACTCGTCTTTTCTAAGTTCTATTGGATTTTGACATGATGATCAATTGGTTGGTTGTGTCACTGTAGATAATGTGGTTATGTGCACTCTCTCTTTCTGGCTAGGGGATCCTCAACTAGCAGAAATAGAAGAAGAATGCTTGAATTACTTCTAGATTTGCAGAGATTCATAAAGAAATTCCTTGAGAGAGAGAGACCGTCATGTCATTCGATGCTTGTCATATGAATTTTCTGTAGGAAACAAATCCACATGTATTTGAAAAATGAGGCTAATTCAAATGAAGTAATGAAACATGAGTTCTTATGGCAAAATGGGCACTCTCTTTTTGTAACTCTCATTATACTAATAAACTTTTGTCATCTGCAGAGAAATGCGGCATCAACATATAATATTCTAAACGAGGAAGGTAGAATTGTGGCTGCAGCGCTTCTGCCCTATGGAGTTTCTTCATGACCCCCTAGCCAAGCTCCACAGACATTCCTATGATACTTCTCAACTTGCAGGATTCTTCCAGGCTTCAGCCCTCGATCTTACAAGTATTCCTAAGTGCTTTGGTCTCAAGTAGTCGTAGAATGACTGCAAGTACTTGTTGCCTGTCCTTTTTTTTCCCTGTATATACTGTTATGGTTGAAACATGCAATAAGCATTTAGAAATTTATATACTCGCATGAAAAGTTAAGTATACTCTAATTTATTTCCTGATTACCTTGTCTTGTAAGAACTGGATCTTCTTCCAAGTGAAGCTTTCCTTTCAAGGTCGAACTTCTTTTAGTTACATCTCTCCTTTTTAAGTCCTCTTAGTACTTGTGGGAGAGATTTAATGTAGAAGGATGTTTGGAGATATCCTTCAAGTTTCTAAGTTGGAAAATATAGGTCCCGGTTGATAATCATTTTTGCTATAAGCACAAATTTTACCCATGTATTTTCTGTTTTGCAATCTATTTTTTTTGAAAATGTTTTCAAAATACGGGTCGGTCATCCTTCGTATCTTTGTTGATTAGCTAGCTGGCTACTTGAAGTGGCGAGATCTTGTATCCTGAGTTTGGTGTGCATATGTTTTTCAGGTGGCTTTAAATCGAAGTTTGACTAATAAACTACGGTGCTCTCGTACCTAACCTTCGTAAAGATCAAGTGCCCACATATATATAGTTAAAAGATATTAGCTAAATTTGTCAAAAGATATAACTAAACATAATTTTCACGAAAATGAAATGGTTGTTAAACAAAAATTTAATAGTTTAAATTGTCTTATCTCGAAGTTGGCATGGTGGAGAAGTCTCCTTAGAGAATTTTTCTTTCTTAGTGCAACAAGGGATGGAGATCAGATTTACAATCTCTGGGTTGGAGATATATGTTAATTACCGCTTAGTACATGTGAGTTGTGAGCATAATATAGTGAGAAACTTAGGTAGAGTATTGAACGTAATCATCATGATAGTCACAGAGACAAGTGAAAAAAGTAAAAAAAAAAAAAGATTATAGAAGAATAAGCTCAACTTTAGAGTGCTCATATTTATTGATAATGAAATGTTGTAAGGTTAGACGATTGTTCTAAATTAAACGTTGATGAATATAAAAATGAAATGTAACACTTCGCTCAATTGTAACGTCAAAGAGCATAACCTAATGGTCATTGCAAGTAACAATCACATCGAAACATTTCTCCTTTTCACGTTAAATGTTTGTTCTATTGGCATAACATGATCTTATTACACGAGTCTTTCTACTCAACTTGATTAACTTGGTACAAATTAATAAATTATGATGAGAAAGGGCAAAAAAAACCAGATTGGGTGTAAATTTACATTATATTGAGATTTCAAAAGTGGTACTACCAACTGACCAAAAAAATAATACATTTGAATCACAACACATCTTGGCAATCAATATGGTGCAAGATTTCTAACTTCCAAATCATCCTAAAATGGAGGCAAATTTATCATATCCCCCAACTGTTTAATGATTTATTTACTAGTAAGCTTCGAGCTTATCTTCTAGAAACAGAGCAGTTTTTCAGAACTCGAGGACACTGTTGTACAACCTATAGAACAGATCCAATTCATAGAAACAGGGCAATTCAACTCAACTCCTCATCATTTAGAAGGGAGTCTGCGCTTCTGTGATGTTGTTGGTTGGCTTGATTCTCATTCTTCTTGAGATCTTCAGTTTCATTGTTCTCCATCTTCATGAATTGGAAGCCCATAATATACCTGTACTCCCCCGTCCCGAGGCATCGAGAGCAATAGCCGAGACCACTTCCGCCACAGGTCCTGCACCTGCGTGAGTAACCGAGGGGGCGAGTTTATTTGATATCTAGTTTAGTTTTTAGTTCAGAAAGGCAAAATCATAAGCAAATATATCATACCATTTTGGCCATTCCCCTTTTGGAAGCATTTCTAGGTGAACAAAATTTGTCCTCCCTAGTTTTGGAGCACAAGGACATGTTACTCAAAGGGCATGAAAAAATACATTCAATTCAAAATTTCTGTTGTAAAATGTCCCAATTAGCCATTCAATAGAGAGAGAAACCTCTTCCACAACAATGGTGACAGTCAACTCTTCCACTTCCATTGCATTTCACACAAGGTGGATCTGGCTTCTTTCTTTTTTCTCTCCTAACATTTGACTGCAATAAAAAGAGGAAACACCACCATGAGAATGACCAAGAAAACAAACTAACTCGTAACCTCTTATTTAACCATCACTTGGTCTGATCGATACATCTAGTTTACTTTGTTAATCCTAAGGATCAAGATAGAAATACAACAGAATTATCGAAAATGATACCGCTGCAAACACTAGTTCAGGAGACAGAAGAAAGTTACAACAGATAGTCCACAAGAAAGTTACACTACACTTCCAAAGTAAAATTCAGAAATCAAACATGTCCTGCACTCTCATATGGTAGCTAGAAAAACAAATCACACACGCGATAGTCCACACGAAATAAACGTTATTTAACAGAGTACATAGTTGAGGCCCGCGCCATAACATGTGGTTTTAAAAGGCTATAGAACAAACAATTCATAAGTGAATCCTTAGAACTCAAGGGATATAGCTGTACAACCTATAGAACGGATCTTGTTCAAAGTTGTAATCTACAAGTGAATCATGAAAACAACATACACAAATTTGCTCATTTAAGTGAAAACATTTCTTTTATAAGTACTTCATTTAAGAGAAAGCACCAAGTGCTCCTCTCAAAAGCATTTTGAACACCACTAAGTACTCTTCCACACTCCAGTTTCACTAAGAGAACACAAAGACACTCCACAAATAGCATAGACTAGAGGAAAACACAATTTCAGGAGATTTTCTGCAGAAGATAAACCCTAGCTTCTGTTTTTCCACATGAATAATTCTCTACAAGAGCTAAAATCATCGTTAAAGGGTCCAAACAAGAGTATTAAAACCGAGTACGCGTTAAATTACTGTAAAGAAATGAACCTTCTGGTGAGATTTCTTATGAACAGAGATCAAATATTTGCATTTCCGCCATGATTCCAAATCTAAGCAGGGGTAAAAATCGACCATACAGCCGATTGGGGCAAATTATTTCCAATTTCCAAAGCCTTTTCTTGTCATCGAACCAAACAACAGAAATTGAAGCTTAGTTATGAGAATAATTACCTCCGTTTTGACGATCCAAGAGGGCTTTGGAATTGAGAGACGGGGAAAAGGGGTCGAGTTCCGAGGAGGAGGAGGAGTTACGCCATTTGAATCTGTGGCTTTCAATTGAACGACCGCCGCGAGAACGATCGGCGCTCTCGCCGCCATGACCGCCGTCGCTCAGTTCTGCACTTTCCGGCGAAACCCGGAGCAGAGACGAGGATCCGTTCTGCTGAGTTTGCCGCCCGTGTACTTCGAAAATATCATTTTAGTCCTCCTATAATACTTATTATATTTTAGCCCCTATGTTTTTTAAATGTTTAAATTTAGCCTCTGTAATTTCAATAAATCTTAGGAGTAGTCCTTTGCATTAGTTAGAGCCCGTTTGGTGATTTTTTATTTTTTATTTTATTTTTATTTTAACGTAGGCGTTTGGTAATGTAATTGTGTCGTTTCCAATTGTTTTAGAAACATAAATATTTGGTAAGATTCTTATTCTTCATCTAAATTTTAGAAATTTATTTTTGTAAGCAATAAAATCTTTTCTGGTTTCTGTTTCCAATTTTTATTTTCAAAACGTAAATAAAAATATTATTTTATCATTTTTTAGATATCAAATACATAATAAATATCAAAAAAATAATTATAATATAAAATTTTGAATATTTATTTTGAAAAATTAATTTCTATATCAAACTTTTATTTTTTCTAAATTAAGAATTTTAGAGAACAATAAACAATACATAGTTACCAAACATATGTTTCTATTTTTTTCAATAAAATAATATCAAGAAAAAGTTATCAAATGTAATTTCCCCTTTTCGGATTGCAAAAGCAAAAGCAGTAAAAATGATATAGTAAAGAAAAGATGAGAAACAAAAAAACAGAAATGTCACCGTACAAGCTTTATTTTATGATAACTTCTTGAAAACATTTTAATCTTTATAAATCTTTTGGTACAAAGAATTGATGTTATTATTTTTCTCTTTTGAAATTTTATTAAGTTGTGTTAATTTAATTTTCCGAAATTAAAAAATTTCAATCACGTATTTGAAATGGAGAGTAAGAGAAGCTAAAAAATATTTCAATCACGTATTTTACATATATATAAAATATATATATATATATATATATATTTATTTATATTTATTGATGCGGAAATTTGGCCTTCTAAGATTCCACCAAATTCACACCTGGAATAAAGGATCGACGAGACCTGCAAGCCACACAGGCTCTTATGCTTAAGTCACCCTATGCTTAAGTCACCCTTTAAGTTTGGTTTACTCCCAGTTGAATCCTGATCCTCTAGAGATTGTGGAATTCGAATCCACGTTTAGCAAATCTGATTATCTGAATCTGGGGAGAATCTTGAGGCAATCGGTATATCAGGATATCTGAATCATAAGGCCAAGATATCTTCCATTTGAATTCCTTGAATAAAGAGAATCTGAATCGTAGAAAATCATCCATAACAATATATTATTTCAATTTTAAAAATTTAGAAAGGGGATAAATTAGAAGTAAAATTAAAAATCTTAACTCATTAAATAATTTTTTAAAACTTTTAAGCACGAAATGGTATAAAGTAGACTAACTAAATAAAGATACGTGGATCAAAACATATATCAGAGGATACACAATTTATTTTAAACTTAAATTAAAGAATTCAACTTAACCATTATTCTTTTATATTTTTAGAAAATTACATTTTAAATATGGGAGAAGAAATTGTTTTGATACTTATTTAACTTGGTCTATGTGGCAGTGCTCAGAGGTCTTTGAGGTCGACTTTGATGTGGTTAAAGTCTGGAAATAAGAAATAAGAAACCAAACATTGGGGTGGCGTGAGCCAAAGGTACATTCTTTGAAGCTTAAATTAAAATTGAAATAGCTCAACCATATGTACGGCCACTCAATGCATGCTCCAGAGTCGACCACATTCTTTTTCTATAAGTAGACTATTTATTAGTTATTAATAAGCTTACTAATCTACCACAGGGTGCCCCATCATTTATCTGACTTTGCCCATAATAGATCGATTAAAGAAATATTGAACCACTCGAACTATTTCGCGCTTTTAACATTTTGATTCAGAATATATACCTAATTGAGTTATATTTAGGCCGTCCATTTGAACTAAGCTTAAATCTAACCATCTACTAATTGATTAAGTATCACTCATTCGAATATATTTAAATAATTAATGAATCTAATCGGTTTCAATTATTAAAGTCTAAAATAATTTTTAAACTAAATTAAAGAATTTAACTTGACCAGTCTCTTTTGAGAGAAGAAATTCAAAATAACGATCCATCAAGGAAATGCAGAACCATTAGAGCTATAATTAAATTTGATTATTCTAATTATATAAAATTATTATGCTACCAGTTGATTATCCTTAACTCCAATATATTTCAGTAAATTCAGGCATCTAATACGTTATAAGTAGAGGATTCAAAGCCCCTTTTATTGCCAAAATCAACCACTTTGGGTCACATTTTTTTGTCACAGTACAAACATTTATGTTCCCTAAAATATAATCTAAATGATCTTAGCACAGCACACAACCAGCCGGAATCATCCACAGCCGCCGGCAGCGGCGGTCAAGCTAGTCGGGCCAAAACGCCGACGAGCGGCGCAGTACTAACAGTGGCTGGCTCGGCCATTTGGTAATTCTGCCTCGAATCCGTATACTGATCGTTCTTATCCGGGCCTCCGACAATGGCTCCATCTAAAACATTCGGGTTCGGGGCATTTCGGTAGAACCATAGCTCGAAACCTACTTGGCACGTGACGGGGCTCGGGTTGGACTTTATCGACACGATCGAGGCTCCCCTATGATGGACCTGGGTTGGGTAGTTTGACCCGAGTCCGATCATGTAGCTCATCCTTTTCGGATTTGAACCTAGGATATATTCTATCTGAAAAATTAATCTAAAATGTCATGTTCTATTTGAATTTTTAAAAAATAAGCACATAAATACTACTTTCGCCCTAGTGTTTTCTTGTTATATTAAATAAAATGTTTCACTAAAAAATATTTGTACTGACAAAGCATTCAAATAAGTCTTTTCACAAAAAAAACATTTCTGTTAATTTAGAGACGATCGCAAAGGTGTTGGGATTGGCAGTAGTATTGTACCTGAGATCGGGAGAAGGCGATTAAATCGGAGGGCTGGAGGAGGGCGGCGGGGCAGTGGATCGGGGCATTCTTGGAGGCCAAGTAGTCGGAGTAGATGGTGGCGAGGAAGGCGGCGGCGGAGACGTACTGGAGGTTGTTCCATGGCTGGAACCAGAGGAGGCCAGAGGGAGTGGTTTGAACATTGGAGTTGCCCTTTTGGAGGCAAGAGCAGATGAATTGCTCGCCTTGACTCTTGAAATCTGACCACAAACCTGAGGATTCTACCTTCCCATCCAACACTAGCTGCCCACCAGCCTCAAATCACTCAATACAATATTCTTGAACGAGTTTCGAATTTGATTCTAATAAGTTTTTGTTACTGACATTATTACTTAAATATGAACTCTACTTGATATGTATGTTGATTGTACTAATACGTAATGTTTGATGGATCTATAGATTTTTTTTTTATTGGCCCATCATTCCTATTATTGAATAAAACTTAGAAGTTTACTGATAAGTAGGTTTTATCGAGTAATTTGTATTCTTTATTATTTTATTTTCTAGAGACTCCTGCCTTCGAAAGTTTAGGAATTTAATTGAAAATTTTTAAATACATATGAGATTAAATAGATATAAAAATAATAAAAGTTGAACTATTTCCTAAAAAAAAAGAAAGACTAAATTTGTTATTTAACATATATTTATTATCTTATAAATTAAACTTGGAGGAGTGTATACCTATTTATCTCTATATTTTGAAAAGTTTTTATAACATAGTGAAAGAGATATTTGTTACGATCCTATAGGTTAAACTTATATACTTGTAGTTTGAAAGTCCAATTGTTTATGTTTAACTATTTAAAACTTACCTATGATCTAGCTCGAAGTATGAATTGACTAGTTCTAAGATACGTAAGTTAGTTGAATAAGTTTTCGAAAACTTGACATTTTCGGTGTGACGACGTGCGTACCTTAGCTACTAGGATTTGAACACCAGCATACTTGTCGTCCCAAGAGAACATTGTTCTTGTTCCACCTGTGGTACCAGATCCTCCTAGGTAATTAAGGTACATTTGATCCTCGGTTGCTCGATGAAGCCATGCAGCAGCCCACAATAATTCATCCTTAAAAAACACAACAACATTTTAATCACTCAACAAATATGTATGTTTTTGGGTTGTTTTTCAATTTAGTCAATGTAATTTTGAATTGTTCAATTTAGTCCCTCATTGTCAATGTTGATATTGATTGACGATAAATTTATTTAACATAATACTAACAAATATACCTGAAATCCGCTGCTGGAATAGAACTGGCTTGCTACTGGAACGCTATTTTGATAAAGCCCTTGATGATTTCTACCAAAATCGAAGAGCTGTGCACAAAATAAATAAATAAATAAATAACTAAAAGATACTTGCAAATTTCTCCAGTAAATAACACATTATTCTTTGGAAGATTTATTATAGGTAAAACATCTCTATTGTTACGAGACTTTTTGCATAAAATCGAAAGTAAAAATGGAGGAAAAAAACTTTGAGAACCCAAGTATAACCTGTTTTGCATGGGTAAGAAGCATGGAAGAATAATCAGGGTTGGAAGGGCGAAAAGCAACGGAGGCAGCGGCAAGGGCTGCAGCAGTCTCGGCGGCGAGGTCGGAGCCGGGGTGCTGGTCATCGAGCCGATAAGCGGTGCGCGGCGTGGTCATGTCTTCGGGTCTTTGCCAGCAGGCATGGTCCGAATTGCCATCGCCAACTTCACAGTACAAAACATCAGGCTGCGGATGCGCCTTCACCAAGTAATCTGCACCCCATTTGACGGCATTTAGAGCATTTTCCAGTTCATGTTTGGAGTCAAGTTGGCCTCCGTACTCCACCACGCTCCACGCCAACATCGTCATCGTGAACGCCATCGGCAACCCGAACTTAACGTTGTCACCCGAATCGTAGTACCCTCCCACCAGATCCACCTATACCATGCATACAAAAGCAAGTCTAAGTAAGATATTTTAATCGTTACAAACATAGTTCAACAGTAAAGATATCTATTTTAAAACTTACACCAGCATTTTGGCCGTCTTGGAGGCCAGAATCTCCGCGCCATTGAACCCTTTGGTTAGGGGGCAATTTTCCTGACCTCTGAGCCTCAAAATATAACAAGGACTTGGTTAGTGCTGTTGCATAATCTTCTGCAAAACCGCCATGGATGGAAGCAAGGAAAATTCCAAGCCCAGCCAAGGCACAAAAAATGCTGCTTGAAGAGGAAGAAGAAGAAGGCATTGCCATATTCTCTTTTGAAATGGTAGTGAGAATTGAGAAAAAGAAACAACTTGCAAAAGGGAAGAAATTGGAGTTTCTTTATATAGAGAGAATGGAAATGATGTATTTGTCCAAATAGAGAAGAAAATCCCAATTGATTTAGATATGGTATTTGGGTAAATTATTTGTCTCTTTTTAAGAGTCAACTCTATTAAAAAATGATGATTATAGTAGATACCGTATTTAGTACAGAGAAGAGTCTGATTAAACTTTTTTAAAGATTTAACAAACATAATTTTCAAAAATCAATGAGATTAAAAAAAATGGATAGCGTATTTGGTCGAAAGAATATGTTATTGTCATAATAAAAGAAGAGGATTACGATTGATCTAATAATAACTTTAGTTTCTCACCCTCACACATTGTATTCAAAGGAAAAACAAAACGACGACTTTAATTTTAGGTCAACTATTATATATTATTTCACGAACATTAGTTTTGAAGCTCCCATCCGATTCTAAAAACTGATCATCATGTGGATACGATATTTGATTGGAAGAATTTTTTGTTTTACTGTGATAAATGTAGAGTATGGAAATTTAAACTTTCGACTTGAAAAAAAAAATTAAATAAATAAACGTCGTTTATAATTTGTCAGTTTTGACAAAGAGACTATTAAACTTAAATTTGTCGGTTTTGTGGGATAAAAATTTTCGATTTGGCTTGAAAAAGCTTGAACTGATTTTCAGTCTTCAAACGTAACCAAGTGGTTCTTCCTTATTAATAATATTTTCCGTTGGTTTCAAAAAAAAAAAAAAGCGTCATTTATAATTTAGTGATGTCTCCCCAAGGTTAATTTTATAGAAATATCGATAAAATGTGGATGATGAATATTTATGTAAAAGTTAGAAAAATAAAAAAAAATCATAATAAATATTTGAAATTAACAAATAAATATTTTCCTATTTCTAAATTAGTTAAAAATAATTCATATTAATATTATATATATATATTAGTGACATTTTGCTGATATTTTTCATATTTTATCAATTTTCTTGTACTATGATGAAAATGTCGATTTATCTCTCATGTCGATGTCGAAACCATAAAAGCATAAATATGTCGATGGACATATCAACGTGTCGAACGGATATTTAAAATCATGGTCTCTCCACATATCTCCCAAATTAAGTTACCTAATTATCTTTTTTTTTTCTTTTTTTTCCCTTTTTTTTCTTTTTTTTTTCCCACAGTAACTTTCTCACTGTGCACACAGCTAAGTTACCATTTTTGTTGCAAATTTTGTTTATTTATCTCACTCACCACACAAATGCTAAGGTAAGTTACCATATTTATTTATCTCTCTCCAAACAGTTATAACAGTTACCATATATTATAAATTTGGTTCATTAACTTTTGAGACATTTTTTTTTCTTTGTAGTACAAACGAACTTTTGAGTTAATAAGATCCTAAACTAATAGGAAGGGTTTAATAGATTTCAAAACTTCTAATGTTGTATCGAATATGTTCAAGAATCTATTCGGTGTAGAATTGAAATCATCGAATTTTGAGATGAGTAATAGGTGTCTTATCGTCCACTTTGCTATACTTAGATTGACAACGGAAAAATTTAAAGTTTAGGGACTTGTTAGCTAACTTTTATTATTTAGAGACCTATTAGACATAACATAAAAACTGTAAAATATTAAAAGTTACCATTTAAACCTTTATTTATTTATTTATGGCTAAATATTTATAATTGTCCCCAATTTTAGGCAATACTTAATTGGGTTCTTAACCTCTTAAAAATCTCAATTTTATTTTCAGAACATATTAGGTCTCTGTGCTTTTACTAAAGTAACAATTTAGTTACTATAAAATTTAGTATGTAATGATTTAGTTCCTGTTCTTTCACTAAAAGTAACAATTTAGTCCCTCAATTTTAGCTTGTAATGATTTAGTATCCGTAGTTTAAAATTTGTAACAATTTAATTAGTCTCCTATCATAACAAAATTTATTAAAATTAAGTGTTAAATTTTATCATATAACAATTTAATTTTTCTAATTTATAAACATATTTTGGTCCCTCTTCAGTTTTTCAATCTATATATATAAGAAACTTAACAAAAAAGTTTCACGATAAGAACTAAATCGTAACAAACTTTAAATTACAAGGACTAAATTGTTATCAATTTGAAAGTATAATAACTAAATCGTTACAAACTAAAGTTCAGAGACTAAATTGTTACTTTAGTGAAAGTATAGGGACCAAAAGTATTTTTTAACCTTATTCTTAATAGCAATTAGGAAAATCCACACAGAAAAAACTGTTAAAAATTTATTAGCAAAAAGTCTATGTATATCATTAAATTATTATTTTATTAGCATAGTTAAACATGTGAATATGTCATTTAGGTAATACTTAACAAAGGAAACTCAACCCAATTCCAATCATTAGTAAAATTTGTCCTTCAATAAAATCCATTTCTTCCATGTAGCATCCAATGTATACAAAATAAGTTAATCAAGGTTTTTAATTTTTTTTTAACAAAAGTTTTTATTTTTTCTTACAAACCACTTAATTGAAAATTTTTAATACATTAAGGATAAAATTGAAAATTTTAAAAGATTAACGATCAACGACAATTAAACTGCCATGACCGTAGTCGCTTCAACAAAACCCAAAGCAGAGATAAGACTAAGTTTGGGGGTCATTGCTACCGTTGCCATCTTGTGTACTTTGAAAATATCATTTTAGTCTCTTAAGTTGAGATATTTTTAAAAATTTAAATTTAGCAGATGTAATTTTAATAAACTTTAAAACAGTTTTTTTTTTTTTAAAATTACTTTAAGCCTCATTTACTAACAACAAAATCAAGTTATTATTTCTTCTTTCGATTTTCGTTTTTTTCCAAAATATAAATTATTAAAGCATTATTATATCATTTTCAACCTATAAAATGCATAGTAAATATAACATAAAATTTTGAATATTTAATTTGAAAATTTAATTTTTTATATAAAACTTTTTTTTAAATTTAAAATTTTAAAGAACAAGAAATAGTTTCCAAACATAATTTTGTATTTTTTTTTCAATACAAAAAAAGAAACCATTACTAAATATATTTATGTTTTTCTTGATTCAAACATCGAAAATGGGAAACGAGAGGAAAAGAAACAAGAATGTTACCGGGTCTTCAAGGTTAACATAATTTTTATTTATTTCGTTTTTTTTAATAAGGGTCTTTAAGGTTAACTTCTTATCTTTATAAATAGTGAGGAGTATTTATAAAAATTTATTGAAATTATTCCGTAAGGATAACTTAGATGGCTTGGACTTTAAGAAATAACTTTGACGTTTGGATTCAAACCAAACTAAAGGATCGCCAACTCCAGGGTAATAAGAAAAAAAAGATTTATTGAAAATATATAAAATAAATTTACACATTAAAAATATAAAAACTAAAATAGAATAAATTCCATACGGATCAAAATGATATTTTAATCAAATGTATGTATCTATTTGTTCTTTTGGATTATGATATTTTAATCAAATGTATGTATCTATTTGAATCGCTGCAGACCTTAACACAAGAGGCCCCCAATGCTCTAGCGATTCGCAGGCCGGCAATAAATGCTTCATACTCAGCCTCGTTGTTAGAAGTCCGGAAGCCGAACCGCAAGGTATACTCAAATCGCTCGCCTCCTGGTCCGAGCAAGAGGACCCCGGCCCCGCACCCCTTCTCATTGGAGGATCCGTCGACATAGATTGTCCACGGTAGGTCGGACTCGCTCAGCTCGGAAGGTGGTGTGAGCTCGGCTATGAAATCTGCCRCTGCTTGTCCTTTCAACGCAGTTCTGGGTTCGAACTGGATGTCGTACTCACTTAGCTCCATTGCCCACTTCATCAGGCATCCAGAAGCTTCTGGCTTATGGAAGATGTTTTTTAGGGGCAAGTTAGTGAGCACCACCACAGTATGGGCTTGGAAGTATGGTTTAAGCCGTCGGGCCGAGGTGACTAAAGCAAGAGCCAACTTTTCCATTTGAGGGTATCTGGTCTCGGCTTCGGTCATAGCCTTGYTTGTGTAGTAGACCGGGTTTTGCCGCGCTTCCTCTTGCCTGATTAGGGCCGAGCTGACGGCGCTGTCAGACACTACAAAGTACAATTGGAGCTTGTCCCCCGGCATGGGCTTGGCGAGCAAAGGTGCCGAACAGAGGTAGCTTTTCAACTGCTGAAATGCTTGCTCGCACTCCGCTGTCCATTCAAACGGCCCTTTCCTCCGTAGGACTTTGAAGAAAGGAAGGCACTTATCTGTCGATCTTGAAACAAACCGGTTCAGGGCCGCAATCCTGCCATTGAGGCACTGRAGCTGCTTCAGCGTCTTAGGTGCCTCCATCTCGAKCACGRCTTTAATCTTTTCGGGGTTGGCCTCGATTCCCCGGTTGTTCACCATGAAGCCAAGGAATTTTCCCGAAGAGACTCCAAAGGCACATTTAGCTGGGTTGAGCTTCATTTGATATGTCTTCAGAACCTCGAAGGCTTCGGTCAGATCGGAGAGATGCGACTTAGACTGCTTGCTCTTGACAAGCATGTCGTCCACATACACTTCCATATTCCGGCCGATCTGCTTGGCGAACATTTTGTTCACCATTCTCTGGTAGGTCGCTCCTGCGTTCTTTAACCCGAAGGGCATGACCTTGTAACAGTACAGACCTTGGTCTATTATGAATGCGGTATGACCTTGATCTGGGACATGCATCTTGATTTGGTTGTACCCAGAGTAGGCGTCCATGAAGGTGAGCAGTTCGTGCCTGGGCTTTCCCACAAATTTCTTGAAGTAGCCATCTTGAATTATTTCCTCAATTTGGCTCTTCAACTCCCAGCAGTCCGACGTGTTATGGCCGTGCTCCCGATGGAAGCGGCAATACTTGTCCTTGCTGCGCCTTTCCGGGGCTCCCCGAAGCTTCTCAGGACGCTTGAGTAGTTTTTCCATTCCAGACTCCTCGATGTTCGTTAGGAT